TTCCACAACGTCGTGTGACAAAACCTTCAGGGTGTTCTTCTTCTAATATGTTTAGTGGTGGCTAGTAAGTAGCTTAAGGGAGCACTACCGCCACCAGGTGGTAAGACGAGTTGGATTCTAGTCCCCGCCTACAGAGCTGGTCCAGAAATGTACATGGAAACACAACAGACCCGAACCGATCTGAACCAACCCGAACTGATCTGATCCGCTCTGTGACAGTGGAAAAGGGGCATAAGTCTCTTGGTTGGCCTGGGAACACCTTGGGATCCCCGCAGAAGAGCTGGAAAAGGAGGCTGTAGAAAGAGATGTCTGGGCCTCCCTGCTCAAGCTGCTGCCCCTGAGACCCGACTTCGGACTAAGCAGAAGATGATGATAGATGGATGGAAGGATGGATGGATGTTTGAATGTCATATTGTATGTATTCATCTACAAAGTACTTGAGCAAACTGAAGCAATGAGACAGATCCACCTGCTCTTTTAACATTGATATATGGTGGGATTGTGGCTCAAATTGGTAATCTGAGATTGATTTTTTAAAAATTTTTATGTCCATCACTATATATCTCCTGATTAAATTATTAATATCAGTCACAGGTAAACTACAGACGAGTGAAATGTGAATATTTGAAAATAAATCTACTGGTTGAATAATTTTCTCTCTATTTTATGTTTGCTGGTCACAGCTTGATTAAGTTATGAAGAGTTAGGCCTGTCACAATAACAAATTTTGCTGGGCAATTAATTGTCTCAGAAATTATTGCAATAAACAATAATGTTTGAAATTTGACAATAATTAGTAATGTCAAATTTAAGAAGAAATGTTGGTTAATTTTGTGTGTAGTATCTTTTTTGACCACTAGATGGCAGTATAAGACTGAACCGAAGGATGGATAGTGAGAGAACGAGCAGTGTGTCTCTTTAAGAAAAACTGGAGATAAAATGGATTTTAAAGTGAAAAGAGAAAGGGAGGGGTGAGTGAAGAACACTGGAGTTGAGCCTTTTGTCATTTAATGTCCAGTAGAAAGAGACACGAAGAAACGATAAAGCAGATAAATGAAAATGAGGTAGATAATTTTCATTTATCATGCGATTAATTGATTTGTTGTTTATTGCTGTAGGCCTATTAAGAGCTATAGCTCACTCACACTTTGTAGAGGGAAGAGGAGTTTAGTTTTGTTTTCTTATCTTTTTTAAATACAAATGTTGAGAAGCAAACTCATGTCTCTTCCTCTGTGGTATTTTGTCCAAAGCAGCCATAAATTGGGTCAATCTGTGAAAAATAAAAAGAATGTAGCTCCTCCTACAATGATGGCAACAAGGAGATTCATTGTAGTGTGAAAATGAACCAGCCGTTCTCCTCATTCACATTCTAAACCTGATATTAAAAACATTTTAGTATGGCCTTCACTCTGTTTCTCAAATTCATTTGGAAACACTGTTAGTCAGAGTGAACAATTAAAAGATCACAGTCCTACTATCACAAGATTTTTCAGTTGTGGAGTTTTTGTTGTAATTTTCTCTGAGAACAAGGATTATTTGAAGCACAAGTTCTTCTGGACACAAGTTACAGAGCTCACATGATTTTTGTTGCAACAGAGGTCAGATTGGATAATGATGGGAGGGGTGGGGGTAGCAACTAAATGTGTTCATGAGTGTAGATATTATGAGGCGTTTTGTCTCCATTAGAACAAACAATGTGTATCCAAATATGAACATGTGTCTACTTTTTGCTATGCTGCAGAGCTGTGTTAAGATGGTGATACTGAAAGGACAAACCAAACAAAACCAAAACAGCAAGGCAGCGTTTTTTTATTTTTACCTTTACAAAATTGGTGCAGTAGAAGCATCAGTAACATCGTGGGAAAACCGGCAGATAGAGAAGTCAGTTAAAACTTTCAATTTTAGACAACTTGATAAAAGTTGAGCTAGCTTGGATTATATCCTGATGCATGATCAACAGCTTGGATTATCCTTTTAGTTATGCTGCTGCAGACTAGGACTCCTGGAAAACATATGTCAGGCTGCTGTCTTTATTATCTTTGTGTTTGTAATCAGCGCTGCCATTATCTGTGTTTTCAGTTTTTCTAATCCTAGAAATGACGCCTGGTGTTCCTGTCCTCTCAAACCCCAGCCAGTTGAGGAAGATGGCTTCCCATCCTGGTTCTGGTTCTGCTGAAGGTTTGTTGCTGCTATACACCACCCAGTACTTCCTCAGGATGCAAGATCAAGCTCCAGTTTCTTTGATGCAATCGGTTGGTCTTCTTAGACAACTTCATAAAAACTGGCATTTTATAATATGCTGAATCAGATTTTGTTAAGTTATAAATGGGCTCAACTCACTGTGTTTGATCCTAGATTAGTTTTGGACTGAACTGGACTGCATGACATTAGATATGATCTGAGCGTGTTAGTTTTTTGTATATTCCTTTTGTTGTGACTTGGCGTTATATGAATAAACTGAACATGTTGGTGATGACAGCCTGTGATCCACACAGATGACAAATGTGGAAATCTTACAGCACATATCCTTTGTGCACATGACAAAAATACCATCAGGTCTTCAGCCGAAACGTTGCAGCCGCCTTCATCCCCTGCTGGGACCTGATAGGGCTAACATGCTGGTAAGCGCAGTTCTAACAAGAAAAAGTCTTTAGATAGAAAATATTGATTCTGTAACTTCCCAAAATTTGTTTAAGGTATTATCTATTTATATTTAAAACACTTTTTTCCTGTAATGCAATAATTAAAAATGTGTGTTGCATTTCTGCTTCACTACATTAAAGCCTTCAAAATATCCTAAATTATGTGCATTTATCAGACATAAGTTAATATACAGATAATAATACCGTCATTTCCAGTCTATAAGCCGCTACTTTTTTCGCAGGCTTTGAACCCCGCGGCTTATACAGTGCTGCGGCAAATTTATGGATTTTTATTTTTATTTGACAGGATAACGAGTTTCCTGCCGCCAAAAACATTTCGCTTCATCACACCCTGGTGCTCACATAGCTGCCCAATACACGTCTCTCTTGGGGGTTAGGTCCTCGTGACTCAATGAGACTACCTGTATAAATAAAGATTTTTAAAAATCTGACCAATGAAATTAACGAACAGGTCATAGGCGAACCAGTGAAACAGGGAGGGGACTCCCCTGCATGTGCAAAGCAACTTTTGCGCAGAGCACAAGGTTGCAGCAGGAGGACGCCAATGACTTCCTGGTAGGTTACCGTATTTTTTTGACTAGAAGAGAAACTGAGGACATGTGTGATATAGTTTTTCTAAGGCTGTTCGATTCTGACACTGAAGAAGACGACTTTAGTGGTTTTAGTGCACAGGAGGAAGATGAACATAGTGATCAGTGACTTTTCCTGGTCAAGCTACTGTATTTTTAATTTTAAAAAAAATTTACCAGCCATGTTTTTCAGGAAAAAAAATTACTGTACGTATTTCTTTAAGTTACCGGTATTTAATTAAGTTAAAAAAATCTTTCTGTAAATATCTCATATTACAACGTGAACACCCAAGGCTTATACACAATGTAGTTACCATGCTTATACGTGTACAAAATGTATTTTATTTAGTGTGCGTGGCTTACATTTGGACGTGCTCTATAGTCCAGAAATTATGGTAATCTATACAGAAGTATAATTTAACAGCACAGGTAAATTTAACAGTATTAAACTCTATCATCCATGATTGATTCTTACATGTGAACTGCCCCTTGAAAATAAAAGAAGTAACAGCTGAAGCTAAATAAACCCCATTCAAACAGAAACTAGACCTGAGCAGGGTTTCACAACTTTTCACACAAGAAGAATGTCTGGCAGCTGTCCTTTGGAACACGTAACATCCGTTAGAGCAGCTTGGAGAGGCCTGAAAAAGGCCAATTAATGTCAGGGCATATTTCTTGCTCTAAAGAAACCAAAACAAGATTGTGTGAATAGGAGAGTTTAGTGTCTGACATGGAAAAGTAAACTGATCCAAGCATTTTGCTAACAGGAAAAACTGTAAAAAACAAAGACCAGCCAACATATCTGAGCAGGATCTGGTGACCTTTGCTCAGGAGGGACAACTCAGTTGTAGACTTTCAAAAATATAGGAAGAAATTTTATATTTAAAAATATCCACTTTTTTTGTTATTGTGGACATTTCAAAGTAATTTCCATGTGAATGGCAGGACCCAAAGTTTCCCAGCAAAACATTATCTAAAGCATCACATGCCTGCCTTCTTCAGGTAATCTGTCCTGGCACCATGTTTTCCACAAGTTACTAACTCACACAGATACACCTATCTACATAGCATAAAACAAAACATGATTAATTGGACCAGGACACCGTCTCCCACTACTTCCTGGTTCAGTTCAGGGACTTTCAAGCACTTTCAGCAGTAAGCACAAGTCAGAATATAACAAACTGCAATAGTGTCCTAAATTCACTAAGGGCTTGTGTGGATTTTATGTCTGTAAATTAGGAATTTGCACGTAACGCTTAAATCTCACAAAAGAAGATGAGCACCTTAAGGTGTGCTGCCAACCAGAGAGCATGTCAAAATTAATATAGGGGACAATTTCCACAGTTATGGTTAAGATGAGACAAAAAGATGGAGCACAAACCAGGCGCAATGCATGTTTAGTGGATCCAGGCCCGTGTTTTTATCAGAACCAAAAACACATTTTTTTGCAGATTGAGATAAACAGTTGCTGTTGTGATTAACTCAAACACAAGCCAGACTTTGTTTCTCACATTCATCAATAACCCTTCTCTAACACTGTCACCAGTTTACCAATATGCCCCCCATGGACAGTTATTGATGGGTTGATGGGTTTATGTCTGATTGGTGTTTGTTGCTAATGTTTCTGGTTTGTGCTTGTAGCCACTGACATTTTGAAGGGCCTGCCACTACTGTGTGTTGCAGCCACAATGTCAAAGGGATGGTGAAATATGACCCATTATTTCAATAGCTGCATTATTTACAGCTTGTTAGTGCAGGCCAGGGTTACCTTATCATCTCCTCTTTCTTCCTGCTGTATGTAGCACACCAAAGAGTCCACCAGACCATGCATAGCTCTCATCTTCCTTCTTGTTCTCTCGTTTACTGAGCTCAAGTTCCTAGACATGCAAACACACAGAGAGAAACGGTTATACCTCAAAATCCTCATACTGCAGGGAAAAAAAAATAATTTGGAGCAGATGTTATGTTGTCTCTTTCTATAACCTGTGCAATTTGATTATAACCAATTATATAAATTATGTAGGAAAAAATATTTTATTTATGTGCTCTAGACCAGATTCTATAGGGTATTGTATAACAAAGCATCACCCATGTGTGTACCTGCAAGTGTGTAGTATGTAAAGAGGTACAAGCAGAAAGTCAGAGGTATTAATTGAGTATTGTGCTAAATAAAACGTGTGGGTCAAATTTCACCTTCTGCACATGGAGCACAAGGAACATGGTGGATTTGTAAACCTGTAATGGTTGAATATGGAAGTGTTTTGGAAAATAAACAATGTTATAAATTGATGTAATAAATTAAACAGGCTATATTGTCACTTCACAGATACATGCTCTTTGTTTAGTAATTTGTGTTTTCATTACTGGTGGTCACAATATTGTACAATGCTTTTCATCAATCAAATCAAAAGAACAGTTTGTGGGTAACAAAAAATATATCAAATAAAAATCTCTGATTTAATATATTTTAAGTTCCTATAATTTGGATAATTTTGATCACCAAAATTGCAGTCAGTGGGACACTTGAGTTGTGAGTTGACTCTTCAGTATACAGTATTGTTTGATCCAAGACTATTTAAGACTCTTACCAATGCTCGTACTTCATAAATACACACACACATACAACTGAACCAACTTAGATTCTTTATTTGATCTTATAGAAGATTTGTTTGCAAAAGTATGCAGATTTGATTCAGTTAAGACATGTTAGTGATGTAAATGTGATATCTGACGCTCCAAGTTATATAAACTAAAAGACAATGTGGAATGTTTTTATCAGTAAGTTAGAAAATTTGTGACCTATCTGCTTATTTTACTGCATTCAGTTCTGGTTTTATAGTAGAAAAAAAGTGTGGTTAAGCTCTATATTCAAACACTTTCTTTGGTATCTCCTTAGCAAATTCAAACTCTCTCTCGTGTGCCAGATTTTTTTTTTCATGATCACACGGTTGACCTTCAGAGGTTAAAAGCGTGTTAGGAATGTTTTTTGTCTCTAAACCCTATGTGTCATTTTTCACCACTTTTATTGTCTGTCCAAACAGGTCTCACTTGTTAATGAGTCTCCGAGGCTCAATGTGACTTATCTGTTTAAATAAAAGTTGGGGGAAAAAAAACAAAAACATGATAAATATTATATGTGTTGTATTTCATTCAGAAGAAATTGTCCTAAATAATTAGACTGACAACTAAACAATGAGAATCATGTAAGCCTTTGAGCGTAATGCTAACGAAGAAATGTGACAGAGCCAGACTCTGGCCTGGGTCATGTCTCCCTCACCTGAGGCAGCCGGTGGTGTTGTAAAAGATCTCCTTCTCAGAAGAATTTAGTGGGATGCTTTTGCACAGTGGAACCAGTATTTTCTCAGTGAGCAGCTGTAAAGCTTCAACGGAGAGTCTCTCCTTCAGGTTGTCTCTAGAGGACAGATTCCACAAAACGCCTGCAACCCAACAAAACAGCTTTTTAAAAAATATGAAATGTGTGGGATTCAAACATACCAAAGCATTTCATCACACACCAGTGGTTATCAGCTCATGTGGAGATGTTCTAGGTTAGGTTCTGTCCTCACCTGTGATGGTCTTCTGAAGCTCTTCATCCGGTTGGTTCAGTATGTTTACAAGAGGTGTCAGTCCACCTGCTTGGATGAGCGCTGCTTTGTTGTCAGTGTTCTCATATATGAGATTCCTCGTGGCAGCAGTAGCGTAACGCTGCACTTCTACGTTGTCACTGGAGAAGAGGCAAACCAGAGCTGGAACACCACCGAGAACCCGAACCTTTGAGGCAGAGAGAAGATCAGCATCACTATTTTCTTTCGCTTTATTTCTTTATTTTACTTGTTTCATCGATCACGTATAGAAGAATGTAGAATCAGTAGAGACCCAAAGAATTGCACACTGCATGCAACTAGAAACGCATAAATCAGTTTGTAGGTAATAAACACCTGATTTTAAAGACCACAAGAAGTCCTCTGTATTTTGCTCCATGCATTTTCCCTCAATTCAGTTTCCCAAGTTCCTACTGATTAAAATAATCACACAGCATGACGCTACCACTACCATACTTTACTGTAGTGATGATGTTCTTAGCATGAGGTGGTAGGTTTACTCCAAAAATGAGGATATCCTCGATACTAAAACTTTTGCCTCATGCAAAGAGAGCATCTTATTCCACATGGAGAATTCTCAAACAGGTTTTTTCTTTAGGTAATGTTTGTTTTACGAGCCTCTCTTCCTTGAAGCTCAGCTCTGTGCATAGAGGTCCTAAAGAAATATATTCCCATCTCCACAGAATGGCCGTGGGGCTCTATCAGGATTATATTTGGTCACTTGTTTGCTTTTCTGATTAAAGTCTTCTTTGCCTGTTTTTTGGGAGTTTTTGGTAAGTGACTCTCTCCTAGCAGGTTTGGTGTGGTGGCATCTTTCCATTTCCTAAAATTAGATTTATTGATGCTCTGTGTGGGCAGCACGGTGGCATAACTAGTAGAGCTGCTGCCTCTGTGAGCAGGTCCCTGGTTCAAATCCCAGTCCGGGGGCCTTTCTGGGTGTAGTTTGCATGTTCTCTCCGTGCATGCGTCGGTTTCCTCTGGGTACTCCAGTTTCCTCCCACAGACCAAAAACATGCATGTTAGACTGATTGGTAACTCTAAATTGTCTCTAGGTGTGAGAGAGAGAGTGAATGGTTGTTTGTCTCTGTGTCCCTGTGATGGACTTGTGACCCATCCAGGGTGTACCCCGCCCCTCGCACAGTGATTGCTGGACATGGGCACCGGCACCCCCGTGACCCAAAATGGAATAAGCCGGTAAAGATAATGGATGGATGCTCTGTGTGATGTTATGGGTTTGTTTTGTTGTTAACCCATCCACGATCTGCACTTCTCCACAGCTTAGTCTCTGAGCTGTGTGGAGACTCCTTGGTCTTCATGCTGCCTCTTGCTTGGTGAAAGCCCTTCCTCAGACGTGTTATGACCTATGTTAACTCTATGGCCATCAGAACAAGTAATATTAATATTTATATTTTCTATATTTACAAGAATTATACTTTCTATACTTCCTACTCAAATAAAATGACAGAAAAGATCTTAAGGATTACAGTCGAGGAAAATTATAAAGAATAAAGGACAACTTTGTAGAAACACTGGAACTAAAAAAAGTTTACTGTGGAGATAAAATAGCAGCAAATAAAACCAAAAGCATTCATTTAATGACACATACCTGGTTTTTGGCGTCGTTGCTATGGTAACATTGGTGCTGTATATAGGCGGCTCCCAAAACTTGCAAGCCAGACTCGGTCTCAGAGAGATATTTGACAGCTGTAGCCATATCAAGACTCTGCATCCTACAGAAATACACACGCAGTTAACATTATTTTTAAAAATCATTTATTTTATAACAATGTCATTTCATTTTATATTTCAAATTAAAACAGCCCTGAAATAGAAAAATTAAAAAAAACGTTGGTAACTCTTTTTATAAAATCTACAAATGGGAAACCAACCCAGAACTGCTGTCAGTTTCAGTTAATATTTAATATTGATCCATTCTTACTTTTCAGGCTTTACACATTTTTTAAAAGTTGGTAGAATATTTTTTTTATTATTACTCTGCAATCCAACAAAGTTCAGTCAGGTCATCTGGACATTTTTATTGTTGTTGTTGTTCAGACGTTTCAAATTTCATCCAAAGGACTTCATCAGTCAGAGAACCACAACAAACTCAGTCCCAGAAGCAGCACACTCCCACAGTGGACCAACCAGTTTGCTGGTGGTAAGATGGTTTCTGGGGCCCGCCCTCTCCTTCGTTGACTCCACTGAGGCAGCCATAAAACCCAGGGAGAGGGCGGGCCCCAGAAACCATCTTACCACCAGCAAACTGGTTGGTCCACTGTGGGAGTGTGTTGCTTGTGGGACTCAGTTTATTGTGGCTCCTCGGACTAATAAAGGACGAAACATCTCAAAATAAAAGTCCAGATGACCTGACTGACCTTTGTTGGATTTTCTGACACAAGTGAAGAACCACTGTATGTCAGGTGATGAAGACTTTCCTGAATACTTTCTGCAAACTCACTTTAAGAAGTGCAGTGGTACCAGCTCAGATCTGAAGTCAGTCCAGAACCTTCCTGTCTTTTTTAGTATTTTCTATTTAATGAGAGCAGAATGTGTTTTTACATTGTCTTGTTGAAAAATACATGGACGTCCTTAGAAAATGCTGTCTTGAAGGCAGAACAGTAATTTACCACGATGCTGTCATATCTTTTCTGCATTAGTGCTGCCATCACCGAAGTGTGCATGAGCTTTGCCAGAACCACTGATCCAAGCCCATACCATTACAGAACCTGGGGTTTAGACTTGTTGCTGTTGGATGTTTCTTTCTCTTAGACCTGTATGTTGTCTCTGCACTGAAATTCCTCTGGATTCAATGATTTTTTTTTTTACATATTTGTTGACCATTTCAAAACTGTCAAACTCAATCTTATATCTTGACTGAATCCTGAACCGTGTTCAAATTTTAGATGCTCTAAATTGATTGGAATGGGTTGCAGGCTTGAAATGCAGAAACAAATCTTTTTCACCGTATTAAAGAAAATATAACTGACAAGAAGAAACTTAAAATATTCTAACATCTGTTTTTAATAAAATAAAATAAAAAGATAAGAAAAAATGAAATAGCTGCTTTTTAAGATAAGATGTCTCACTGTGCCAGTGGATCGTTGCTGTGTATCGATGCTGCATCTGTGATGTCGGCTCCTTTGCCCACACTCCTCAAGGAGTGGAGCGAGGCGGCCCGATGCAGTGAAGCATTCTGGGAAATGTTAATGGTGTGATTGGCTCTGGATGCATGCTGTTGCCACTGTCCTCCCCAGCTGTCGCCTGCAGTGGAGACCCCCCTGCCATTCCCCAGCCAACCGTCCTGACCAAAACAAGAGATGGGCTGCTGGTAGTACTGCTGCCTGTTGGTGATCCGGCTGATGGTGCGGTGAGACGGGCCTTTGTAGGTGTACTGATACGGGAGCTCATCCTGCCATTGACCTCTTTCCTGGGCCAGAATGCCACTGAGGCTGCGCCTGAGGGTGCTGGGTGGGGGCACAGTTATTGGGACAGAGTTCTCTAGATGAACCCCTCCTGCGAGAGGTAACGTCTTTTGGTCTTCCTGGCACAGGGATTTTGAGCGGTTGCTTCTGCTGAGCATGTGGGAGGTGTGGAAACTGCTTTGGACAGTGCTGGTTTCTCTCTGTCTCATCTTGGAGCTGTTTTCCATCGCAGAGCGAGAGGAGAACCCAAAGGTTTGAGAAGGTGCTGCCGGCACCTGAGGTGACACAAAATGAAAACAGGATTTGCAAACAAGTACCTTCACTTTTGTCTAACCAACTAGTTAAAACAATCATTTTATTCATCTGTACTGAAAGTGAGGTGAGTAAAACTGTCCACATGCCATTGTTTCTGTCTTTCTCATTAAACGTTGGTTACTACTCTACAGGAAGCTCACTGCGGTGCGTGTATTGTTAAACCGGCCTGTGAAAAGCTTCAGCTCAGCGTCCTGTTTATATTTTGATTCTGTCTTTGCATTGTTCCTCATGGTGGAGTGGGAGGGCTTCCATCGTTCTTCTAAAAAATAACCTATTGGTCAAGGCAGGAAACATCAGGAAACTTCTGAACAATGCCTGCTCTTTGTAGAAGTGCGTTTAAGCTTGACACTGTTAAAACAGGAAATCTGTTAAATGCTGTAGTTTATTTATTATTGTTGTCATTTTTTTTAATGCTTTTAGTAACATTTGATTGGTGGTTTTTCAATATTAATATCACTGTACTGGTTGGCCCTTAACTCCCAACTAATCCCAACTAAACTAATTTCCACAATGACAAAAATTATGCATAAGTAAAATAATAAATAAATAAAATAGTTGCTAGTGTTCTCAGGAATGGACATCTCAGCAAGTTTACCCAAAGGTCAAACTGTGAAATGCTCCAAACTAGATCTTCATCTCAGACTCTATGAGCCTCAGTTAGTAGGTTGAAGCTCATGATGGTCCAATTAGAAAAAGTTTGTCTTGTGTAAGGTTGGATAAAAAATCTATTATTTTCTAAAACACACCCACGCAGCTTGGGTTTGGAAAGCTGCACTTGCAAATAGCAAACAGCATGACAGTGAGAGTGGTGGCGTAAAGGTTGCCAGTTCAAATTCTTATTTTTCTCACTGTGGGCCCTTGAGCAAAGCCTGTAATCCTCCAGCTGCTCCCCAGGCACCTGAGAGGGCAGCCCACTGCTCCATGTGTGCTCACATATGTGATGGGAAAAAGGCAGAGAATGCATTTCTCTAATGGAGATTACAATATAAACAGTATTATTAATATATCAACCAAAACACTTCATGTCAACTGTAAGCACGGTGGTGGAGGGGTGGTGATTTGGGCTTGCTTCTATAGCCACAGGATCTGGGCACAGTGCAGTCTTTGAATGGCCTTGAACCTTCCTGCATATCAAAGTATTCTACACAATTAGAAATTGAGACACTGAAATGTACCTAAAAAGGTCCCTATTGTTACTTCCACAGGCGGCGGAGGCGAGCTGGACTGGGAAGCTCAGTCCTCACCTCCTTCTCCTTCTTCCTTCTGGGACCCTGTGTACATAATTTCGCTCCACCACATGTACCACATGATGTGCGAATGACAATAAAGAATCTCTGACTCTGACTTCTACAAGTGTGCAGTGGAGAGCACCCTGTGCTCCAGCATCAACGTGTGGCATGGAGGCTGCACAGCTGCACAGACGTCTGTTGGAGTCAGCCTCCCCACCATCACAGACATCTACACCTCCAGATGCAGGGAGAGGGCCACCTGCATCATGAAGGACCCCACTCACCCAGCACTTTTTGCTCCACTCCCCTCAGGCAGAAGTTTGCGTAGCATTACGTGTACAGCCACTAGACTGAGAAACAGCTTCTACCTAGACTCATGAATCTCTAACCAGAATAATCCCTGTAAGGGGAAAATGTAAATGTAATGGCTCTTTAACTGGTGATATGTGACTTATCTGTGCTGCTGATTATCTCATGCTGCTGGATTTATATCCATCTACTCACCACAGACTCATGTTCGGGCTGCTGTTTAATATACTATATTGTTTTACATTATTAGTGTTTAGAGTATATCTTAAATATTTTAACGTTTGCTTAGCGTATATCTTAGTGTATATCTTAGTGTATATCTTAGACACTTGTATACTATTTCTTTTTATACTTTTTTGCTATTGTTGGGTGTAACTGGGACCTTGAGTACACATTTTCGTTCCACCTCAAGTACCACATGTGATGCGAATGACAGTAAAGATATTTGAACTTGAACTTCAGTTGTACCATAGAAGGGTAAAACATGGTACCTTGAATAAGGTTGTTTTCACACCAGATAGTCCGGTAGACTTGGTTCAGTTCGGGACCAATATTCATGAGCTTTTGTTTACATTTGAGCTGGTGCGTTTGCATTCACACTGCACTGTGCAGTCGAGTCAACCTGTTGAACCAACCTATTCCCCCGCTCGCCTGTGGGGGCGCTGCACCAAGAACTACTGAAAGAAACGACACAAAAACCTCTGAAGACACGTCTTCTTCTTCTTCTGTAAATAAAAATAAAAACGCAGTGGCATCGAGTTTTAGCAGTTTTAGGAGTTATATTTTGTCAATTTTCAAAAATGGACTCCGCATGAGCAGAAGATGAGACAGAAGACCATGGAGAATATTGTTTTTCACACAAGGCAGCTGACGGCTCCATATGAGGTCAGAGAAATGCGTGTTTGTTTGCCGTGCGCTGTACTCCACTTCTTGCTCGTGGAGCGGGGCTCGGTCTGTTTACATTCACACTGTACTCGAACCGTGCTGGAGTTCTCTTCTACCGGACCGAAACCTAGGTTTTAGCTCGGGCCAGAGTTCGCCTTTTTGTTCCGTGACAGAGTTTGGTGGCGCGTTCACACCTCCCTAAACGAACTGGACTTTCTAGGAAAACGAGTTAGAGTTCGATTAAAGCGGACTAAACACGGCTGGTGTGAATGCACTCACAAATAATGGTTCATTTTTGCTTGTAACTTGAAAGGGACATTTTTGCACGTTAAGATACCTTAGGACAGAAACTAAACACATGAACTAACAAAATTATATAAATATAATAAAAATACAAATGCATAGACAAACAGAGATTATGCAGATACACGGAGATAAATAGTGGTCGCTGGTTTGATATTCCTTTAGATATGGTTTCAAATGAGCCTTAAAAATGTAATAGTGGAAGATTTTTCCAAAGTTAATGATAAACTAATCCAATATTTTAAACTTTTACGATAATCAACGACACAGATAGTCCAAATATAAAAAACATACGGCATTAAGCAACATCAAGTCATTTGAAAGCAGAAATATTAAATAAACAAGAGCCAATGATCTAAACCCCTTTAAATACCAAGTATTGCAGACTTACACTTCTGTCTGCCGGTCTTGTATTAGTACTAGTATTTGTGTACTTACAGCCATGACCCGGGTGGGTGAGCTGATCATGGACCTGGAACTGAAACCATGACTCTGGGCAGAACTCCTTACTTCAGGGAGGTTGTAATCTGCACAAAGAGATGAAACATGCTGATGTTCATATTTTATTTATTTGCCACCATAAAACCATACTGTTGATATTCATCCAACATAATTTGACGTTAGGTGTTTCTCCTCAATTAAAAAAATACTTCTGCAACACTATTTGCAAGTTCAAAAATCAACTTTAGACAAATATGACTTTTTGCAAAAACAAGAGGTGCTTACAAGTTTATGCAACAATCCAATCAGTCATTATTGCTGCAGCCATGCAATTACTAAGGTCTCACAGGTGCCAGTCAGAATGGCACCATACTGTTTCCAGTTTAAAATGGGTGAGTCTCCTTTTTTCTAAAGGTTGCTATCAGGTTTAGAAACTCTACGTGAGAGGCTGTGGGCGAGACAGACGGGTTTTGTCAAATCTTCCAAAATGTGTGTGTGTATATCACAGCCTTGTGACTACTGCAAAGTCATTTCACACAAAACTCAATGCCAGCTGAACGTTTTCCAAAAAACAGATGTCTATGGGAGAAGGTGTGTTTTTAGTCCAGTGAGGCAGCAGTTTAAGAATCAACAAACACGGAGGATATGGAGCAGATGGTGCTTCAATAACAGAATACCATGTGGAGCTGAATGTTACATTTTTTTTATTTTCCTGCAGCAATTAATGGAATTGTTAAATTTTATTCAAAAAACAAAAACCTAAATTTAGCTAAACTGCATTTTTTTCTTCAGTATGTTAATCTGGAATACATAAAATAAATAATAAAACAAAGCTATTTAGCTTTGGTTTTATAAGAACAATGACAGAAAATAAATTAAAACTAAAGGTCTATGTGGTGTATGGCACCAAAAACATTCAAAGCAAATACTTTGAAGACCTGGAGTCTTCTTGAATCAGACACGTTTGTCAAGAACTTCACAGATGAACAGATGGATTGAGATCTGGAGAATTTAGTTCACAAGAACCAACTGTGGTCTTTAAAAAAATCTATTGAACCGATTTTGGAGCGTGGCAGAGCATATTCATCCAGCAGTCATAGTCAGGTCATGATGTTATTGGACCTACTTGTCTGTAAGGACCCTTACACAACTGTCTGTTCAACTGTCCCCCTCTTACAATGATGTTATTGCTAGTATCACTCAACCCCCTGTGAATAGTAAACAGCCATCAGTGTGCTGATGATCCATTGTTAGGCTGATGGTCCTTCTTGAGCATGTGATCAGCTGGTTTTGGTTGTCAGCAGCAAAACTGGTTGATCCACTCTGAGAAGGTGCTATTTAAGAGACTGAGCTGAAAACAGCACCTCAGACTGAGGAAGTCTCTCGGATGAGAGACGAAACGTTTTTACATTTTTTTTGCTTTGTTTTGTTTTTTTGTTTTTTTGAATGTCCAGAGGACCAGATTGAACTTTTTTTGACCCCTACACAGTTAATTAAGACCCCTTTAATTCATTAAAAAAATCTTCCAGATTTCAGATCACAGGGACGTTAGTGTAGTAGTAGCATATTCATGATGTGAGGCCATGCACAACGAGATTTGGTTGTTGAGCTCGGTCAGTGGCAAGGTGACTGACTAAGTTCATAAGTTATGAAAGTTTGTGATCTGGCTGCAAACTAATATGGGGCGGCTGTCGCTGAGTGGTTAGAGCAGGCGTCCTCCAATGCAAGAGTTGGGGGTTCGAATCCGCTAGTAATCAAATGCCGACATGTCCCTGGGCAAGACACTGAATCCCTCATTGCCTCCGATGTGTGTCCCATTAGTGTATGAATGTGATAAAGCTCTGATTAGTCTCTTTAGAATGATTTGTTCAATTAGCTTTGTAGAGATCTAGTAGAGTGATGTATGAATGGGTAAATGAGGGAACACATCGTAGTGTTAAGTGCATTGAGTATCTTGATAAGATAGAAAGGTGCTATCTAAGTACAGCCCATTTACCATTTAATCCAAGATAAATCTGTGTTAATTCAGTAACTCCGTTCAGAATAATTTTAGGTCCTTAAATGAAGTGAAACTGGCTTGTCTTGCTTTCTGAAGGCAGTCCACATGTGATTCAAAAAGCTTTTCAGCCTTCATGGGCTCAGGCTTTAAGCTCCTGTGGAGTCAGTCACCCAAAGAAAGAAGCCCTCAAACACAAGTTGAGTGGTGATTTATGTACAGTTCAGTGAAGCATAATTCACACAGAACTTCACTGTATACAACAGAGACAAATAAGTTTGTTTCAAAGGATGGTTCACACTGTTCACAACAAAGACTTAGCAATACACCCACAGCTTAAGGACAAAAACGTCTTTTAAAGACGGTAACATCCAGTGATCGAGGAAAGAAGGCAAATTATTGTGGAGAGGAGTGAAAGAGGCCATCTGTGTTAGACTGGAAAAAGTCATTCTTATACAAAAAGACTCTTCAATGAGTGAAACACTTCAAGAGAAAAGGTCCAGCTGCCTTCCGTGAAGCACTTAAGATCTAACAATAGGTTCAGTTATGACCAAAGTAGGGGACCATCAGACAAACATCCACCAAGCCTTACCAGGCATAACAGCAGTAGAAATTGTAGAAATGATTGTTTTATGTGAAATATTACATCATCTAAACAAGAACAGCTAAAGTTTTTACAGTAAAGATGTATTTATTTCAGCTGAGACACAAACTGAACGAACCTTAACACAAAGCTCACTCTGAACATATGTATGTCTACGAACAAAGCCGGGGAGAATGTTGACTGGAGCAAATGACGATGAAAAAATACACACACTCACACACACATGCACACACACACAATACACACTACACACGCCATCCTGTCCAGCAGCTTGGAAGGAAGGAGGGCGGAAATGCTGCTGGGAGGAACCTGGGCTGCGTGCCTGAACATAAGCATCACAACGTCAAAGGCCATCAAAGGTATGAAGCATCACCCCAAGAAGAAAGAAAATAAGCATCGATATAAGATCAAATGTATTATTAAAGAATAACAGCATCTCAGAGGTGATTAAACACGTGACAGTCTGGATGAGTCATGGTTCTATCTCGTGACAAAAGCAAGGCGTCAGTTTTCAAAACATTTTTAATTACTTCTTAAACATCTTTTTTTTTTACTCACATTTAATACAATTTCTTTCACAAATTGCTTTTGACACACAGTCAAACTCTTCCACTCTGTATGAATGTTTTTCACAATCAAGTGGGGGCCTCTTTTTGGTCATGAGTGGACTTCATGACAAAAAGAGGCCCCACTTGATTGTGTTGTCTGAAACACTTTGACCTGGACTCCCGATCAGTCACACAAGCATTTTACTTCTGTTCATGATTTACAGGGGCTCACAGTTCATAATGTTTCCATGAATGCTACTAATAATAACATAATAAGACATATATTAAGCATAGTAATGATTAATGTATGGTAAAAGTACAAGTGGGTACTTGTCAGCCAACTGTAGACAACTATAGATGAGTACGGGTAGTATGTACCAGCTTCGAGCATCTTGAGGTGATACAAATACTGAAATTATCTTTACCTTTGTATCTAAAAGAAAAAAAGATTTTAATACTCCTGTGCAAGCATTAATATTGTCGGTGGATTTTCACATTTTATTTCATTTACTTACACACAAATAAAATAAAATAAAATACAGTGAAGTGTAGAGCTTTAGGCGACAATACAGGTCAGTAATTATAGTCATAAATCCTCATTTTAGGAATATTACAACTTATAAACTGTATTTGAAAATGCTGTGAAGCGCTGCATGTAGAGCTGAACCCCACCCTGAATCTTGTGTTGTAGTAAAATCTAACAATGACGCTGCACGGCTCCATGTGACCTTCACTTCTTGGCAGACAAACACTTTTTCCCCTCTTCATCTCACTTACAATTTGAAGAAATTTGAAGTTTAACAAAAAAAAAAAAAAAGTTTTTGAGTAGTGAAATAAATTTACTGTCATTGTACAATACCAGGAGAAAAGTGCAAATTAAAAGAAAATGTAAACAAAATCCAAATGGTAGTTTTAATGTATTGTACAAAACAATCACTATATCTGAAATGTATAAATGTTTTTAACTCCTGTCTGACCCTTAACAATCAGGTATGAATGCAGGTTACATGTCAGTGTCAAGACAATAAGTCTAAAATAGAAACTGACAGCCCAGTGTCAAGAGGAGACTGGAAAAGGAATGTCCCACATGTCAGCAGTCCTTGAGTTTAGAAGCTGTGGTGTTTTCCCCTTTTTATTTATTCATCTCTGCCTTTTACCTTCCACTTTTATTGACCTACAGAGAAATTATGTTGAAGTAATGTATCAAGGACTGCCTGACAATTTCAGAAAAGGCAGTAAAATGGCCCACCAAGACACTGAATCAGTATTATCTTAAAACAGTCAGGTTGGTAACTACAGGGTTTGTCCATCAGTCCTACTTTTCAGGGTCTTGATATTCAGTCAGTGTGACAATAATCAACAAGTGTCTGAGCCTCACAGGTCATGAAGTTTAGAAGATTACTGTTCCACACTCCATGGCCCTGTGTGGTTGGTGTTTAAGCCCATCCCTTCGGACACATCTGAGATGCTGCTGCTCATTTAAAGTAGGTTTGACTAAAGTCATAACTTGGTCATAACAGCATTGTTTGGCTACTCATTTTTTAAAATGTATAGGTGGTAGATCCAACAAAGTTAAGTCAGGTCCTCTGGACAGTTTCATTTTGTTGAAACAATCAAAAGACATCATCAGTCCAAAGATCTGCATCAAACTTAGTCTTATAAATAGCACTTTCACAAGTGGGCCAACCAGTTTGATGGTGCTCAACTGGTTTTTATAGCCCGCCCTCTCCCCTGCCTACTCGTTTGAGGCAGTCATGGCCAAAGTGGTTCAAAACTGACAAGATCTAAATTTTGAATTTGCAAGTTCAGTCGGACACAAAAGACATTTTAACAATATTTATTATGTTAAGGCTGCTGGTGGGAGTCTGAATCCTCTCACAGGAACTAGTCTTCTCAGATAGTTGAGGAGAGTTTGGCAAAATGCAGAACCAACTCCAC